GTGCCTAATGTCATTTGTAATATTTAGATTAATTAGTGGAAAAACAGGAGCGTTTCAGTCTACATGCCAAATAGTTATTTTCCCTTTATAAAAATCAAACCAATTTTAGTTCCTGAAAAGAAATTTGTGCATTGTGTGAAAGTTTAAAACAGGTTTATTTCAAAGATACATAAAACATACTAACAGGCACTTCAATGCCTAGAGTGTACGGGCAAGAAAGTAAGAGAGCAAGAAATTTTTTTATAGCTTTTTCAAAGGAAGAGTTTTCAAAGAGTAAAATTATGTGAATGGTTTCTAACATAGCAATGAAGTGGGACGTGTGAGATGCCCCAGAGATTCCTGTTGCTGGAATGTGCCTCTATTGGAATACATCCTGTATATTGCTTGTTACCTTTTCTTTCTTGGATTACTTTGTATTTAATTATGAATTCTTAAGCATGTAGGTCATTACATCTTACAGTTTTCTGGGCAATATACCTGTGGGAGATAGCTGATAAATGCACAGAAATACCATGTGTCTGTTCTAAGGCAAATGATTCCCAGATACTTGCAAAATGTGTAACTTAAAAGATTTCTGTATCCCTTTTTTTTTTTTTTCCTCATCTTAAAACCATTACTCCTATTGTTTTGCTTAGTAGATCAAACTATGTCGGTTCAGCTTTCAAAGCATGCTTTTGAAATTAGCAGCTTTGTTTTACTGGTCTTTAAAAAGATAAATCATTTTAACAGCTTACTATGATTTTCTTTTTTTATTATTATTACTTTTCTTTCAAACTTGTTGGGATCAGCCAGAGCTATATCTGTTGATTACTGAATCACAAATAGAAGATCCTGAAAACATGCAAGATTGAGCAGCCCAGAAATGATTTCTGACACACAGCTTTGCAGTACTCATTCCTGGGGGCAAACCAAACTCCTTCACTGGATATGCTTGACATTAGTCTGGAACGACCAGAAACCAGATCTGTCTTATGACCCTAAGGTATTCACATGCACAGAAATTACACAGATTATACAGTCTGTGGTCTGGAGTATCACTGGCCAGTAGAAATACCATGGGGGGAAAGAAGTCCTGCCAAAGTACAATGACACTGTTGAATATGGAAAGTTGGAAGTAAATTTTTTCTAATTTTGAAATCCGCAGGAAAGCTGTTGGATTGTGGCAAAGTACAGATATATCTCCTGCCATGCACCAGCCTTAATCAACTTTGGATCTTAACAGGCTGTAAAGGGGATGTTTCATGTGGACAAAGCCCAAGACAGAGGTTAAATGCTTCCTGCCCTGGGCTATGTGTTTAGCTTAGAGTGTGCTTTTACACCACTTACTGCTTAAGGAAACTATTACACAGCATTTAAAAATACCGGAGAGCTGATTTTTACTCTGTACTCCTCCCGGCTGCACGAGATCCCGAAATTAGCGAAACATTCTGGCCCAGGCAAGCGACTTCAGGAGGCTCCAGCTGTTTGCGCCAGGTCGGAACCGGCACCCAACACGCCGTGCCGGTGCTCGGGCCGCGGGCGCCGGGAGGGGAGCGCAGGAGGGCGGGCACACGCAGAGGACGGGGTGCCGCGGCCGGCAGCAGCTCCCGCTGGCGGCGGCAGGCGCCCGGTGCGGCGGGGGCCCGGCGGCGGCGCCATCGCCCGCCCGCGGCACCGCCCGCCCGCCCGCCCGCGCGGGAGCACTTCCGCCCCGCGGCGCCGTTGCCATGGCAGCGATGGCGCCGCTTCCGCCGCCGCCGAGGCAGCGCGGGGCCGGCCATGGAGGCCGCGCCGGTGCCCGAGGGGCAGCATACGGCCGTGGTGTACGGGCTCATCGGCAGCGGGCGCTTCGCGGAGGCGGTGTCGCTGCTGAACCGCGGGCTGCAGAAGAGCTGCCGCTCCCGGGGCTGCCTCTCGCTGCTGGGCTACTGCCACTACCAGCTGCAGGAGTTCGCGGCGGCGGCCGAGTGCTACGAGCAGCTGGCGGCGCTGCACCCGCAGCTGCTGCCGTACCGCCTGTGCCACGCGCAGGCCCTCTACAAGGCCGGGCTGTTCGCCGAGGCGCTGCGCGCCGCCAGCCCGCTGCTGGACGTGCCCGCCTTCCACCGCCGCGCCCTGCGCCTCCAGGCCGCTGTCCACTACGCGCAGGGCGACCTCCCGGCGGCCCAGAGCCTGGTGGAGGAGGAGCTCGCCGCCGCTGCTGATGGCGGCTCCGGAGCGGCCGAGGACCCGTCGGAGCGGGCCGATGCCGAGGTCAACCTGGGCTGCCTGCTGTACCGGCAGGGCCGGCACGAAGAGGCCAGCGGCAAGTTCGCCAGTGCCATGCAAGTGCTGGGGTACTGCCCGGAGCTGTCCTACAACATGGCGCTGTGCTCCTACGCGGCCAAGCAGTACCACGCTGCCCTCAAGCACATATCCGACATCATCAAGCACGGCATCCACCAGCACCCAGAGCTCAACGTGGGCATGACCACCGAGGGCATCGACGTCCGCAGCGTGGGCAACACTCTGCTCCTGCACCGCACGGCCCTGGTGGAGGCCTTCAACCTCAAGGCGGCCATCGAGTACCAGCTGCGCAACGTGCGAGCGGCGCAGGAAGCGCTCACGGATATGCCGCCGAGGGCCGAGGAGGAGCTGGATCCCGTCACGCTGCACAACCAAGCGCTCATGAACATGGACAGCCAGCCCACCGATGGGTTTGGGAAGCTGCAGTTTCTTCTACTGCAGAACCCCTGTCCACCAGAAACTTTTGGTAACTTGCTACTTCTCTATTGCAAGCATCAATACTACGATCTGGCAGCTGATGTGCTGGCAGAGAATGCCCATCTGACCTACAAACTGCTCACACCTTATCTGTACAACTTCTTGGATGCCGTTATTACTTGTCAAACAGCCCCTGAGGAGGCTTTCCACAAGCTAGATGATTCAGTTGGGACAATGACCGAGCAGCTGAGAAAACTCACAAAACAGGTACAGGAAGCTAGGCAAAACTGGGATGATGAAGCTCTAAAAAAGGCAGTTAATGAATATGATGAGACTCTGGAAAAATATATACCTGTCTTGATGGCCCAGGCAAAGATTTACTGGGACATGAAGAACTACACAATGGTAGAAAAGATCTTCCACAAATCAGTGGAGTTCTGCAAGGAACACGAGGTGTGGAAGCTCAATGTGGCTCACGTGCTCTTCATGCAGGAGAACAAGTATAAAGAGGCTATTAGCTTCTATGAGCCAATAGTTAAAAAGCACTACGATAACATTCTCGATGTCAGTGCCATTGTGTTAGCAAACCTCTGCGTGTCCTACATCCTGACAAGCCAGAATGAGGATGCAGAGGAACTAATGAGGAAGATTGAGAAGGCAGAAGAGCAGCTGTCTTACGATCATCCTGATAAAAACACCTACCATCTTTGCATTGTCAATCTAGTCATTGGTACCCTGTACTGTGTGAAGGGAAACTATGAGTTCGGTATTTCAAGGATCATTAAAAGCTTGGAGCCATATAACAAAAAGCTGAGCACGGACACGTGGTATTATGCTAAGCGGTGTTTCCTGTCCTTGCTGGAGAACATGTCCAAGCACATGATCATGCTGCGTGACAGCGTGATTCAGGAGTGCCTGCAGTTTCTGAAGCAATGTGAACAGTATGGAAGAAACATCCCAGCTGTCATCGAGCACCCCCTTGAAGATAGTGGGTTGCACAGTGGGAAAAACACAGTCACCTATGAAGCCAGGCTTTTGAGGGCACTGATGTATAAGATCACTGGGTGGGCTGAGTAATTGTTGTTATCACACAGCAGAAATGAGAAATTTGTTCTTTTCTTGTGCTTGTGAGGTAATCCTAACTCTCACAAAAATCTCATAAGGATGTTTTGCTGTTTTTTAACAATGTTCAGTAGAAATATAATATTTTCATGAAATTAAGCTGTACCAGATAATTAGGAGCATTCTCAGTAACCAGTCATGTCAAATAAAACTTATGATGTGTTGACCAAGAACGTCATTATAGAAATACCACAGAGTTTTCACCTATAAGATAATATTTTATCCTTCTGGAAATTTGATCAAGTTTGTTTTCATTGGTTGACATTTGAAAAAAAAATTTGTTATCTGTCTCTTCTAGGATAGAATTTGAAGAAACTATTGTTTTAATTCTCCAATATGTGTCTATGTGTGTAACGCTTCTTTCTTCTGCTTTTTCTATTTTTAATATGTTGCAGATCACATCAATAGTATATTTAAACACAAGAAATGGCTTTATATTAAAAAATCAGTTCTACAAACATAAACATTTTGTTTTGCTAACTCATTAATAATGCATGAGTGTTCTAGCAAATTCTATAACTAATACAGTGACTGACCAGGAATAAATTCCAAGAAGGCTCTATGAGGATGATACCTTAGTTTAGATCTACCTTTGAAATAAGATTTGTTACGACAGCTGGCTTCAGAGACACTGGTTAGTGCTGCCTCTCAGAGTCCTGGTGCACAAACCATCTGCGTGGCAGCTGTTGCCCTGAAAACCTGTTCAGTAGCAAGGGCTTACTTAGTAATTCAGTCCTCTATGTGCTGCCCTTCCAATCCAAATGCTATTCTTAAAACAGTCTCTGGTAAGAGACCCATGAATGTGAAATTATATTCTTCAAGAAAAACCCATTGTAACTTCCATTTCATGCAAGGCTTACCCTTGGGTGGAAGAAATCTGCTTCTGTTTCCACTTTGTGTTACACTTTTCCTGCACCTCTCAACACTTCTCCAAAACCCTGTTTATTTTCTTAATGCATTTACTTGGCATTTCCTTCACCCTGGCATCAGTCAGTGTATTTGCTCAACAGTTTTCCCATCCCTTTTCAAACATACATGTTCTACAGTGAAGTGCAACCGAAATGCCTTCCAGTGCTTTTATGCAGTCTGGTTCTCCACTTCATGGCTGCTCTTCTTTTTGTGTATTTGAAGCAATGTATGAATTGAAGTTTTTAAAATAAGGATCAAAAATCTGTGGCTTTAATTAATTTGCTTACCTTTGATACTGGCTCCCTGAAGAGCTGTCCTGAGGGAATTTTGAATCACTCTGCATGTCCCTCATAATCCAGTTTCTATCTGTGGTTTACCTGGAAAGAAAGAGAACAACATTTTTGAAGTTTTGAAGTTATTATAAAGGAATTGAGTAATTAATCCTTGCAGAGAGTTAAGGTATGTAGGAACTACACAGGCCTACAACTATTTCAACACAGAGAAAGTAAACTCTTGTCTGCTGGGGGAGAAACCTGTCAGGGCTGAGCATATCACATGTGACTAAAGGAAATGCTGTGGGTTAGGTAATGCTACAGTTTACGCTAACTGTCCTATAACAGTAAATTATAATGAAATTTAGCTGTGTTAAGAATGGAAAAATGTTCTAGAGAGACTAGAGAGCAGACAGGAGATGCAGCAAGGTATTCTAGAGAGGCCTCCATAGCTCATCACTAGGCCATTAAGCCCCTGATTATTGTGATATTAAATATTTCCCACAACTGCTTCCCCATAGGGAGGAGACCTGTGATTTCAAATTTTGTTCACCTCCATGAAGCACAGCAGCAGGCTGTAAAGTATGTATCTAATTTACAGTACAATTGTATTCTATATTATGCAGTATAAACAGCATGACCTTTAAAAAAAAGTTTTTTAAAAGTCACATCACATAACAGTGTCTGAAGTGCAGCAATAGGCAATACCCTTTTTTTTATTATTATTCATTGTGCATTTTCCATAAAAGTCAGTGGACATTTAAAAAAAAAAATTCACTTTGCAGATTCATGCCCCTGCAAATGTTGAACGCCCTCTAATGGAGAGCAGTTCAAGGTAGTGATATGCTTTTGATTTTCCATACAGGCGGAGTGTGGCTTTCACGAGGGCACTGCTGCCAGGATTTGCAGCCCCAAGCGCTTCATCGCTTCCTGGCCTCCCGTGCCCACACGGCTGCACTGCGAATAGGCAGAGGCAGCAGAGCCCCCCAGCTCTGGCACACACTGCCTGCTGCAGCCTGCAGCCAAGGCACCGGCTCCTTGGCCACAGGATGGGGAGGGAGATGAGCCATGCTCCCAGTGGGAAAAATGTCCCCAAAAAAGGCTGCGGAGTTCTGCAAGCTCTGGCTGTTTTAGAAGATGCAGCTAGAGGGCAGTCGGCATGCCTGGAATTTGCTTCATCCTGTTACATCGCAACAGAAGTGCCAAAAGCAGCATTTTTCCTGTTTTTCCCTTTTCCTCAAGGAGTATGCTGTGCCCGCAGACACAGGGTTTCTGAGCAGGCTGGGTGATGCTGAACACAAGGACCTCGAAGTGGAGAGACCTCTGCTGCTGAAAGAAGGAGAAGTGGCAGAACTGAGGTACAACAGGAGGAGGAGGCCTGGGACAGGCATTTTGTGCTCTGCTGCATCAAGAGATGCTTCTGCATGGAGTCTCCTCTCCATTCCAGCAGCATTTTCCAGCCTGTCCACACGGCCACTTCCTCAGCAATAGCACCCAGCCTTCCCATGGCAGTGACCCTCGTTTTGTCCTGGAGAGCTGCCTGCCCACGCACTCTGTGCCCAGAAGAACTGGGGCCTGTGCTCACGTGGCTGACATCTTTTGCAAAGTAAGACTGTTGCTTCCTCCAGTGGCAAGCACGCGTTTATAGCATCTTCCACTGCAGAGCACTTTGGTTATGAAAAATATATAAATGTTACAACCACTTTTATTACCATCTTTATACCACATTTAATGTTATTACTATGTGACTTACACACAAAATACATTTTTAAAGGAAAGCACATACATTTTTATTTAGGGAGAAAGGAAGATAGCAAGTAACAGTGCTAAGCTCCATATACATATAGTAAAATCACCTAAATTAATGCCCTAAGCCTGCAGAGTTCTTCTGTTCCAAAAAAATATCAAAAACACTACCCAGAAACATCTCAGCATATTCCCAGGGCTTGCAATGGGCAAACAGCTGCAGATAAGGTCAGATTCCTAAGTAAGAACCTCTGTTGGTTTTGGGTTATTTTTGTTTGGTTGTTTTTTTTTTTTTTTTTTTTTTTTTTTTTTTTAGGGGGGGGGGAGGTTTGGGGGTATTTTTGGTTTGGTTTGGTTTTTTAGCTTTTATTGGGAGCAAGGGGAAAGAAGCCCTCTGTTGCAGCAAACTTTAGTGTCTGAAAGTTGAGCAGCACAAGATACTTCCTATGTACATCACCCCCATACCAAGGCCAGTCTCCAGGATTTTATTTGTACTTATAGCCTCCATTGTACTTTGTCCTTACAGGACATCTTGTGAAATGTTCTTGTCCTCAAAACTTGCAAGGGCTTGACACCCATGTTGTAAGTGACACATCTTTTTTTTCCCAATTACCTTTGCAGTAATCACAGCACACATTGCACAAGCAAAGACCTCAGACCAATGTTGTGACAGCAGCCCACCTGCACTGGCAGAAGCAGGAGAGGAACAGAGATACAAATTACTTCATACCCCACCTTGGATCCCCTTGGTGCTCAAATCTCCATCAAATGTCCATCAGCACAACATTGGTAGTGAATGCCAGGGACCCTTGTGATCAGCTCCACAGTCAGAGCTGATCAAAAAATTTCTGTAATCAAGGGGTGGCTGAGTTTATGGAGACAAAAGGTGAGACAGCAGAGTCCTCCTATACAGTGCTGGGAGGAACATGATGACCATCTTCCTTGGGAAAGTTGTGCAGACTCCTACTGGGTAAGCAAGCCCCTCTTAGCAAGAGAACAAATAATGTTATTTCTCTAAAAATGGTGAGGTTACAAGAGTAAAAGTATATTAGTAAGTAAAAGTAAAGTTAGTAAATACAAGAATAAAAGCTGGTTTTGACAGCCCATTCCACAGTATCTTAATGACAACATCATATTTTAGAAGCCTGAGTTCAAAACTTGCACAAATCCATGGTGGTTTTAGCTTCCAGCAAAGGCAGAAGAGTCTAAACCTGAAAAATTCAGATTTGGAACACTGATGTGATAATGTGCTTGTGTGGGCTGGAAGACAAGTACTTACTGAAAGATCCATCCCTTCCTTTCCCTCAGGCTTCTCTTCCTTTATTTCTCTTTAACCTTTCAGTAAATGAAATACCTATATATTTTGGGACTCTGCTAAAACCTGCTGTCTTCTTAAGGAGTGGGTATGGCCAGGACAATGCACATCTTCTTCATGTTTTTGAAGGAAGTGTTTTTGCACCTCATTTGGACAACCTGTTCTACATGAAGAAACAATTTCTAAATGAAGTAAAAGAGCTTTTAACTACTGATGAACTTTTAAGCTCTATTTTCAGCAAAGCATTACTTTTTTTGGCTAATGCTTTTCCATTAAGTAGAGAAATTGAGACATTTGGACTAATTTTCCTAAGAACCTTTTGATTAGCATAATTTTCCTAGATCGTGCCTGAATTTAAACTAATAAAGTCTTAGAGCAGGCTTTGCCAAACCAAACAGTCCAGAATATTTCTATTTTTTAAGATCTTACCCTAAATTCACTGCAGTTTATAGTCCAAATTGCAGGCCAGGAAAACAAATTTAAAACTTCGCATTGATTTCAATGAGTCTTAAATTGGCACCTTTAAAAATACCCATTTTCACAGACTAGTTTTTCAAGCCATCCAAGCGCAGCTTCTGGAAAGTACTGGAATGCTACAACCCCAGTCTTAGTCAATGACAAAACCCCTTGTTTCTACCCATTTAAAATGCTGCTTAGAAATCAGCTAATCCATGTTTCCTATGGCACAGCTGCTGCACATTAAGAAACCATCACTGTTGCTCAACGAGAAGTACAAGTTGGCAGGGTTTTCTGATCCTTCACCTGGACCTGGCCAGCAAGCACGGAGCCACCGCGGCTCTGAGCACAGGGCTGAGCACTCCCAACCAGCTCACGTAGGATGAGCCCTGCAGCGCAGCCCCAGCCCCGGGAGACACCCGTGTCCCCACAGCCACCCTACCAGGAACAGCTCGGAAAGGAAGATCGAAAACAGAATTGCCACATTTTCTCTGGAACGTGGGAATCGTCACTCAGCATCACAAACTAATAAACTTCCCGGAGTGAATGTATGCACTGGCACTGAATGGTCTGAGCCTCTCATGGCTTTTTTTGTCCTCTGCTGTGCACACTCACCTACTTCCCTAAATTTCAGCCTTTTTTGCTGCTTACCTTCTCCTTTCCCCCAACTCTGCCCCTAAGATCCTTTCCAGCCTGTGTCACAAGCAGGGAACAAGTTGACAAACAGCGTTTTATGAGTCGGTTTTATTTTATAGCTCTCTTTCCCGTGGGAGAGTGCAGAGGGAGTTGGCTAACACTCAGATCCTGTTGGGTCGAACTGTTTACTAACAGCCGTTTTCCAAATTAAAATTAGCACAGCTCGGATTTTTCTGAGCTGCACTTCACTGGTGCCTCACAGAGCTCTTTGTGTGCCCCTCCGCTGATTCACGGCCGCTCACACGGCCGGCAAACAGGAACGCGAGAGCTCGGCATGGCGTGTCGGATTTTCTTGCTCTGTCAATAGTATTTATCACTGCGGCTCCACGCGGAGCAGGAGGAGATGGAGAAGCACCATCAGCGCTGAGGGACGGAGCATTCAAAGCGCACATAAATCCTTTGCTCTTCCCCTGCTGAGCAGCTCAGGGCACATGGCGTCGAGCGGCACACGCTCTGATGGCCGGCCCGGCAGCAAAGGCGCAGCCAGCACACCGACAGCCCCGCGCCGCTGCCGCAGGTGCGGAGACAGAATTCCCCCGGGAAGCAGCAGCAGGAGCCGGGTCCCGGTTCAACGGAGCCGCGGCCCGGGTGACCCTTGCGGCGGGGCCGGGCCGTGCTGCAGAGGGCGCTGCTGCCCCGGGTCCCGCGGGCCGGCAGGGGAACGGGAACGAACCGGGAGCCCGAACGGGCCGGCAGGGGAACGGGAATGGGCCAGAAGCCCGAACGGGCCGGCAGCGGGAACAAGAACGGACCGTGCTGCCGGCGCAGGGCCGCTCCGAACACAAAGCGGAGCGGGACCCCGCGCTTCACAGCCCATGGCAGAGCTCCCTGTGTCGCGTGGCTGGAGAGAAGGAATGCCCCAGCCGAGCGGTGAAAGGCAACGTAGCCCTGCTCC